AGATATGGATTTGTTGGTGCTCTAATATTGTATCTATTAAGAAGTGTGACTTTTCTTTCGCTTCCTCAAGTTCTATTTAATTTTGTTGGATTGACAATTTATAACGCATTTCCGGATAAAGTCGTTTTAAAAGGTTCACCCTTATTGGCTCCATTTATTTGTATCAGAATAGTAACACGTGGTGATTATCCGCAATTAGTGAAGACTAATGTAAATAGAAATTTAAATAAATGTATAGAAGCGGGCCTTGAAAACTTCCAAATAGAAGTAGTAAGTGATAAACCGATAGGATTGGTACCTCATCGTAGAATTAGAGAAATTGTTGTACCTGCTAATTATCGCACAAGTAGTGGTGCTTTATTTAAAGCGCGCGCTTTACAATACTGCCTTGAAAATTCGGTTAACGAATTAGCTGATCACGATTGGATTGTACATTTGGATGAAGAGACATTAATGACGGAAAATTCAGTTCGTGGGATATTAAATTTTGTATTGGACGGGAAGCACCAATTTGGTCAAGGCCTAATCACGTATGCTAATGAAGATGTTGTTAATTGGATAACAACATTGGCAGATAGCTTTAGAGTAGCAGACGATATGGGAAAATTAAGATTACAATTTACAATGTTTCATAAACCATTATTTAGTATGAAAGGTTCTTATGTTGTCACGCAGGTAATTAGTAGATGATATTTCTTATTACTAAATCGGATTTGTTTAAACAACATTTGTCTATGTTTTAGATGGCAGCAGAGAGAGAAGTTTCGTTCAACAATGGTTTAGACGGATCTGTGGCGGAGGATTGTTTCTTTGCAATGAAGGCATTTACTCAAGGCTACACGTTTAATTTTGTAGACGGAGAAATGTGGGAAAAATCGCCGTTTACTTTATGGGATTTTGTACAACAAAGAAAAAGGTGGCTACAAGGTATATTATTAGTAGTGCATTCCAAAGCAATTCCATTGAAAAAAAAATTGCTATTAGGTATATCGTGTTACTCGTGGATAACGATGCCCTTATCTACTTCTAATATAGTTTTAGCAGGGTTATGTCCTATCAGTTGTTCTCCACTTATAGATTTTTTGTGCGCTTTTATAGGAGCAGTTAATATTTATATGTATGTATTTGGAGTAGTTAAATCATTTTCTTTATATCGTTTTGGCGTTGTTCGTTTTATATTTTGTATATGTGGAGCGCTATCAACTATTCCTTTTAATTTAATTATTGAGAATGTTGCTGTTATATGGGGTATATTTGGTAAGAAACATAAATTTTATGTTGTTAACAAAGAGTACAAACTGCCTGTAGTACTTGTATAAGTACCATATGTTCAGCAACGTATCACATGTGCATATAATCAGTACCTGTAAGTAAGTCTATGAAAATAGCAATATCATTGTCATGAAGAAATATCATTATAAATAGATAGATAGATAGATAGACAGATAGACAGATAGATAGATAGATAGATAGGTTCAAAATATTGATCAATGGAAAATGTTTGAAATTTAAAATATTTAATTACTTAAATAAGTATTTAAAGTCTTACCAGGAAACCAAAAAATGTATTCAGTTCTATAATCTTGTATATTAATATAAGGTATTATTTATTTATTATTAAAGAAATTTTAGTATTATTAGTTTAATAAATGTTTTCTATAATATTGATCAAATAATTCTTACTACATATCCATTTTTCAAAGCATTATTAAATGGCAATATGAATAAAGCTTAAATGCACATTATAGATGCTCTTTTTAAAGCATACATTTATCTTTCCAATTTGTAAAAAAAAAAAAAAAATATGAACAAGTAACTTACAATGTAATTGCATGATATTCAATTTAAAAAAACTTAATGTTATTTAAAAAGGAGCACTTGCAATGCATTACAATTATATACATTTATAAATATTTTATTCTTTTTTTATTATATTATTTGTAAATAAATGTAGAATAATTTACGTACTTATATAATCAAAAATATATTAATATTATCTGTGATAGAGATGTCTAATGGATTAATCTTCACTTCTACTTTATTAGCTTTATTAATCTAATTATACATTTTGTAAATGAACAGAATATAAAAGCTAAGTGCTATTAAAATTTAAGTATTGCAATGAGATCGACGTATTTGCAATAACAAACGTAACAGTTCAAGTAACACTTATTATTCATATAAGCTAATTATAAGTCTATTTAGGCATCTCTGACTCTATGATATAAACATTTTTATCTACACGATATAATATTATCAATTTAATTTTATTATATTAGTTTAATTAAATCTTTACATAATATTATGTGTATAAAAACTTAAATTATTTTATTAATTGACGAGATGAAAATATTCTCAAAATTTTTAAAAATAAAACTACTTATATAACATTTACTATAATTTAATGTAGATAAATATTTTGTAATCGTATTGCTGGAAAAATTAGTCAACAAAATTTATATAAAGATTCATCGTTTCTACATTTTGAATTTCGAAATATTATTAATATTTATTTTCAATCTTCTATAATCTAGTGTTGCAATTAAACGATCAAACGAGGCTAATTTATAAGGACTTTATATTTTTCAAAGCATATTTATCTACAATAAAAACAAACATACAAAGAGCAAATTTAATATGACTTTCATTGTAAAACTAAAGGAAAGTTACTTCTTTTCCTCCACATATACAATTCTATTCTGTTTTTGTGCTATATAAAAGAAGTTTTACTCGATAGAATATCGAAGAATGCGTATTGTATTATTTTCGTTGTCATTTTGACAAGTAAAAAAAGTGATGGTAAAAATAAAAAATCTATGTTACAAAAAAATATTAATTTTAATTTTAACAAAATATTCTTTTCGTTTATAGATTTATAAAATATTGAAGATTAAAATATGTGTGTGTGTGTTTTTTTTTTTCAAAGATTTTTATTCTAAATTTGTGTACCTCTTAGGTCTGTGCTTTATTGCTACGTATAATGATATATTAAAAAGATAAATCTCAATATTTAGTTAAGTAATGTAAGTAGTAGATAAGATTATTCAAAAAGACTTAAGCTATCTAGTCATAAAATTTAAAAGAAAGACAAAATAAATTGACATATGTTACTAACTGTTGAATGTAATGATAATAATGAATATGTGAACGTATTGATATTATTATGTTTGTCATTTATTTCTAACGAAAGAATGTGATTCTTTAAGAGAGATTATGTTCAATATTGAAAATTATAAATTGGTAAATGTTTAAATGTATATATGTGATTTAACACGCGTATGCATAATTATGGACGGACCAAACTTGGTTTATATTAATAAAATCATTAAATGCATAAGTTATTAATGAGACATATAGTAATAACCATGAAACAAAATATTAAAATTATTCTAAAAATATGTGACTGCATTTGTGACTAATTTTTTTAAACCATAACATACAAAAATGAGATTATTTAATTAAAGCTGAATAATAGATGATATTTTTGCATTTAGGATAATCAAACAAAATATGTAGGATGAATGTAAATTTACAAAATAATATTTCAATATAGGGTATATTATAATTATCTTTATAACTAAAATGGCTTAATTTGTACTATTATATTTATACATATATATATTACATAATGCAGTATAATTACATTATACTGTTAGCATTAAAACGATCAAGAAATGTACGAATTCTTAAATTTATCTAATATATACAGTTAGATATCAGTTAGAAAGCGAAGGTGAAAGATTGACATCTAAAGGATTATGTTTTTTAGTAGACGTAGAATCTATATTTTCTAATAATCTCTCTTGACGTTGTTGATTAACAGGGGCTGTTGCAGGTGTATATTTACTGGATATCAATCCTTCTATATGATATCCAATAAAACCGATAACACAACCAAATGGAAGTGCTATGTATGGTATATTTCTATGCACAATTCTTGTTATTAGGGACCACATCATCTGAAATAGGAGATATATATATATTTTCATTTCTTCTTTTTTTATACAGAATCATTTCTAAATATATACTAGTATGTGTACGTGAATAATAAAACACTCTTTATTTATAAGAGCAAATACAAACAAAGACTTTTGACAATTATTTTATTTCATTTATTAATAGTATCTTATAACGATGATTATATTTTATTATTGTTTTATGAAAGAACACATGCCTACTACATTTGTACTGAATCTGTATGTGCATATATGTGTCATGTACATATATGTATGCATGCACGCACAATATTTCATATATTAATAATTACTTGAAACTAATATAATAATTATTAAAAAATTAAGATTCTCAAAATGAAAAATTCTTTGAAATTATTACATCAAGTATTTATTAGTCTACTAAAACTATCTTTATGCGTTTTTACGCGATAGCGCCATGGTACTGTATAAATGTATATGATAGTTATAATAATCGATTATTATCTTAACTGGTTTAAAAACATGATGTTTCAATTATTTCAAATTACATACTTGTTATATATGTTTAAATAATAGCGTATTTATTTAAACACTTAAAACCATTAATCGTGTACAAACATTATTATTATCAAGTGACATTTACAATGCGAACATTTAATCGATTTATTATTTAATCGGCGATATATCGAATTGTAGAATTCGATATCGATTCGTGTGTGATGGACTATGGAGGGTAGAGGTAAGGAGTAACATCTCTTATGGGAGAAAATGTGAAAAAAGTGTCCAGCGTTTTCTATAAATAATAGTTCAAAAACCTTCCAGAATGGCGCTGGTGTAGACAGAAGGTATGGTATGAATGTAGCAATTGTAAACGAATTGAAGTATACCGAGTTATGGTATAATGTAATAAATATAACCTTAAAGAATTATTATGAGAAAACGTGTAGCTAGAGTGATTTTATTTCGTGAACTGTAAATAGTACGTTTATTGATTTTTTATCATTTAATTTTATGAAAAAGTATGTGAATAACAAAACAGTTATGGGTAAAATTTGTGTTGTGAAATTTGTATTTCTTGTTTATTTCTCAATCCTATTCTAATAATATTTGGCGCTTCCTTTAAAATTTACCGTCTACGAACTGTGGCGCCACCTGAATTGGATGCATTTCGACGGACACTTTTCATATACAGAGATGTTACTCCTTACCTCCAGCCTCCATATATTTAACCATCAAGGTAATATACATCGTTAATGGAGAGAATTTCGTTTGATCCTTAAACTAGGCGGGAATGTAACCGGCAAATGTTTTCCTTTGTATTTCTTTATTAACGAAATTTTACTGATTTTGTTCTTGTGTATCTTACAAAAATGGAGCAAATAAATATGAATAATTTAATTATAAAAGAGAACAACAGTGATAACACCGATATCAAGAACGCAGAAAATGATAGTGGTTCATTAAGTTTAATAAGTTGGTATAATTATTGTTATTTTAAAAAATGTAAGATTTAATAATGGTTTAATTATGTTAATAATTAATATTTAAGATGGATCGTCCGATGATAACAATATACGTTATCCAAATGTATTCGAACATAAGACAATAAAACGAAAGAGAGAAGAGAGTGCTGAAGAACTTGAAGAGAAACGTTTGGCACAGGAGAAATATGACCAAGAATTACATGAACAAAGATATAAACGTTTAATGCATCTTTTAAATCAAAGTGAATTTTATGCTACTTGTCTGCTGGATAACATTTCTTTTGATTCATTGGAAGTAATGATGAATAATAAAAATAAGGAGAAAGAACTAACAGCTACGAATGAAAATATACCACCGCATAAAACAAAGAAAATAAAAAATGATAAACAAGAATATAATAGGAAACAATTAGTTACGGTAAATATTCAAGAAACCCTTAAACGTAACCATAAAACGCGGTCACATTTTGTTTTACATTGGAAGAATTGAAACCATGTATTAATATTGAAATTTCTTTTTTAGATTAAAAGCAAAATAAAAAATAAATTGAATTTAAGTGAAGAAGAAATAGCAGATGAATTATTAAATTCTGATTCTCAAATTCAAGAAGAAATTGTTGACATTCCCAAATATTTTAATGGTTCTTTATATCCTTATCAGAAACATGGCCTGCAATGGTTAAAAGTGCTTTACGAGAATGGTTTAAATGGTATTTTAGCCGATGAAATGGGACTTGGAAAAACAGTTCAAGTAATAGCATTGCTATGTCATCTTATAGAGAAGCAACAATCTGGGCCTTATTTAATAATTGTACCACTTTCTACATTGCCAAATTGGATTTCCGAATTTGCTAAGTTTGCCCCATCTTTACCAGTTGTAGTATTTCATGGCAAACAATCTGAAAGAAAATCTCTCTATAGCAAAATTATCAAATCTTATCATATTATGGATGGATTTAAAACACCACCGATTGTATTGAGTACATTTGAAATGCCAGTAAAAGAATCTAATTTTATTTCCAACCAGAATTGGAGATATATCATTATAGACGAGGGTCATAGAATTAAAAATCATAAATGTTTATTAGTAAAGTAAGTTGACATCTCTAATATATACAATATATATCTTAAATAGACATATAGGACACACACACACACAAATGTTATTTTATTATATTTTATTACAGGATTTTAAGAACATTTAAATCTATGAACCGTCTTTTATTGACCGGTACTCCGCTTCAAAATAATCTAGCTGAATTGTGGTCACTTCTTAATTTTTTATTACCAGATATATTCAACGACCTAACTGTCTTTGAGTCTTGGTTTAATGCTAATGAGTTGCAACGTATGGATGGTAAAGACAAAATTTTAAAACAAGAAGAAGAAAAGCAAATTTTATTAGCAGTGAGGAAAATTTTGAAGCCATTTGTTTTAAGACGTGAAAAGGCTGAAGTCAATATAAATATTCCATCTAAAAAAGAAGTTGTTGTTTATGCTCCACTCACATGCTTGCAACGCGAATTATATACAGCAATTTTGAATAAGAAACAACCTGAGGAAAAACTTATTTTGGATGAACCAAATGGCATTAGACCTAAAAGAAAGTGCGTTTTAAAAAATGTGCAGAATAATTCAAATGTATCAACACCTTTTGTATCAGAAAGAAAAGATAAACTAACAGATAAGACAATAACAGATCTTGATTCATGGAAGGAAGTTATCAATGTCACTGATGAGAATCGTCATTTCTTACTCAATTTACATTTCAAAAATAAATGTAAATAATTAAATAAATTTTCTAAGTATACAGATACATATTTACTATCTGTTATTTCTAAAAATAAATAATTTAAACTATACTAGTTCCATCAATGAATATGTTTTATATTTCAGGGTTCGCATATAAAAAGATTGTTAATCATCCATATTTGCTTTTGAAGCCTGTGGATTTAGCTTTGTTGCCAAAAGATAATAATCATTTGCTCAAATATTCTGGCAAACTTATGGTACTGGATGTAATGTTAGCTAAGTTAAAAAGCCAAGGCCATAAAGTTCTTTTATTTTCAACAATGACTACGATGCTCGATTTAATAGAAGATTATCTTGCATCACGAGATTATATTTATGTTAGATTAGATGGATCTGATAAATTACAAGATAGAGATGTAAATATTAAAGAATTTAATGAAGATCCTAAAGTATTTTTGTTTCTTCTCTCTACTAAAGCTGGTGGAATAGGACTTAATCTTGCTGCCGCCGATACTGTGATAATATATGATAGTGATTGGGTATGCTATTAAATCTTATATATTAAATTGTGCACAATTTTGATAATAAAATTACATTAAATTTGAATAACATTTGCAGAATCCACAAGTAGATATACAAGCGATGGCACGTTGCCATAGGATCGGTCAAACCCGTCCTGTTGTAATTTATAAGTTCTGTGCTAAAGGAACAATCGATGAAGCAATCGTTACACGTGCTCACGCGAAACGATTATTGGAAAAGATGGTAATATCTAAAGATTTGTCTTATTCATTGAATGCACCTACTAAAAAACTACTTAAAGTATTGAAAGAACTGTTAGAATCAACTGAATTTTCTTCCGTAACATCTTCAGATGATGGTAATTTTCTATATTTATTTATTTTTTACACTTAACTTTATCTGGAGCTATATAAAATATAATAAATGATAATAAATGTGCAAACAATTATTTTCAGTATTCACGGAAGCAGAACTCAATGAGCTATTAGATAGAAGCGATTTGGTATGTAATAATAATTTGATTGATAGAAACAAATCTTAATTATATTCAACTCAACTAAATTATAATGCAATTTTTCAAAGATATTATTTTTATTAAATTATAGTTCAAATTTTCGTACAAATATTTAAATAGATTTTCACCTATTTTCTTATCTATAAGCATTATATTTATTAAGTATTTATTTTGTATGCTTTAAACAGTGAATGTTGGTTGAATTTAAAAACAATCAAATTTTGTTTAATCACATAGTAAAGTATTTACATTTCTTTTTGCGTTTGATTTTATGTTTTTCAGTTGATATTATGAACAATTATGAATAATAAAAGTTATAAGTGTTCAATATTCCGTGTTAGATTAACACATTGAGTATTATGTCACTCCCTAGGGACTAATACTGAACTTTCCATTCAGGCGGGACAGACTCAGTAGACTTTTCATTTGGATGGCATGGGTCTTATTGGTGCGTTAGACCAACACTGTTTATATACAATGTTTATATTACAATTATAATAAATTGAATAGAACATTTTAAGCAAATACGTGGTCGAGATTGACAAATAATATAGTGCTATTACTCATTCGCTGCCGCCTGAGTGGGAAGTATACTAAAATTAGCACACTGTACTCAATGTGTTGATAATTAAATTTAAAATATTATAGGTATAGTCTTTTTATATTTCTTTTATATTATTTAATTCATAATTAGAAATGATACAAAAACATATAAAACGTATTAAATAAAGTCTATTGTTTTTTAAAACGCATTGCATTCTTTCCCGTTGAAGAGTTTTTATAAGTGTGAGCCAATTGATCACGAAACTCTGCTTCTAATCTCGTATATGTTCCACCTATTTTAAGAAATAAATAGTATAGTATGTTATAGTATATAATAAATAGTAATCAATTGAATTAGCACATACCTATTGGTAGAATATTTTTATAAATTTGATTACGTTGTCTATTATATGATTTTGCTAATAAAATGTGCTCTACAGATGTTCGTTTTGTTAAGAGCGAGATCATTTGTGCATTAACTCTTTCTTCAAAATCTCTTTGATTATCTTGATTATATCTTATCATTAAATTTGTACTCCAACATCTACTATTTTCCCTATATATTAACAAAATTAATATAATTTTTAGAAAATTATAAAACAAATGTTATTACTATACCTTTTGATGGTTGTAGTTTTAGTTTTCTTTATTGATTTCTTAATTGTTTTTAAACTGGACCATACCGATGATTCTTCACTATCACACGACTCATTATCTGTATTATCGTCATTGTTTATTTCTAATTCATCATCTTCGCTACATGTAACTGAAGAACTAGTAGAAGTTTTGTCCATTGTTTGATGATAATCTTTTTGCAAAGATTTGTCTAAGTCTATTATTTGGGTAGACTTATGGAATAATGATCCATTCCAAATTTTACCTATATTTATAGAAAATAATGAATATCATTTACAATTTAACAGTCTGTTAACAAACTATTTTAATAAGAAATAAGTTGTGAAGATTACAATAACAAGCTTTTGTGTGTGTGTGTGTGTGTGTTATGTTGTTTAAATATTTGTAGATTTTTCTATTCCTCATAAAAATATTTGATAGTATTTTACTGTACCTAACAGACCAAGTTGTGGTCTTGGTGGTACAAGCTCTAAGCCGTTCCACCACATTGTTTCCTTACAGATTAATTTTCCTGGTTGAATACTCGAATCATGTGGTACTAATCTTACCATTTTCTCTGGATAAAATAGCTGAGGTGGTTCTATAGAAATAATATCTTTATATGTTAAGAAAATATTCAATATGTTCATGTCATTTTCTGTTTTGATGTTTGGTATATGTTCCTAATGAAAAATAAAATATTGTAAATAAAAAAATATGAGTTAACATATAATTAATAAACATATCATTTTTACATTATACGCTATGATAATTGCAAAAAATTAATAGTAAATTATGGACCTTGTATTTGCAACCATATTGATTAGGTAAAACTTCAAATCTGTAAGCACGTTGACTACAACAAGGATATCTGCCCAATGGAAATGGCATAGATCTTTGATGCTCATTAACAAAAAATTGTGGGCATTCAGGATGATAGCAACACCAACCCATTTGGTGAATTGAAAAATATGTATTACAACACTGACAAAAGAGAAAATGACAATCACCCCATAATCTCCAATATACTTTACGCCATGAACGTAATTCTAAACGCAAATTGGTAATATATTCATTTAATGACCACGTTGAATCTCTAAAACAAAAAAGAACAATTTGATTTTCTTATCTACCATTACATTAAATAATTGATATATCAAATAATATTACATCAATGTTACCTTGTATGTTTATTATGAATGGTCCCCTTATTATCTATTTGCATAGCAGTTGGAACACATGGAATAAAATCAGAAATTGATTGCACTACATTTTTATTACATCTACCACATTTAAACAAAGTAGCCAAAGAACCGTAATGTCCTCTTTTATTATCTGGATTAATTTCTATTAATGACATGATTAACTGGCAGAACAACTGGCTTTGAATTTTATCCTTTTTGTCTTGCAAATTTTCTATATCCTCATTTGTAAATAGTTTAGCTAATCTTATAATATAATATAATGAAAATATTAAAAGTTAATCGTTTAAAAATATGAAATATATTATTTTACCTTGTAAGAAGATTATCATTCAGACACGTTAAAGTTGTAGACGTTTTTAAGATATCTGACATATTGTCATAACAATACTGCAAACAATTTTCTATTAATGGTTCCATTTGTAGAAAGGATGCAGAAACCATTATGGGAATAACATTGTTCGCATCTAAAGTAGGCCATTCAGATTTTTTAGTGATATCTTTTTTAACCCATCTCATTAACCAGTCAAATATAACTATATCGCAATGAACAGATATATCCATTTCTTCTAATTTCTTATTGGTCGTTATACCAGCAAAATAATGCATTTTTTGTATAAGTAATTTTTGAGGACATCGAAATTCTTTCTTCATATTTTTTCCTTCGTCGCATACACGAATTTCTACTTCTGTCATACTAATGATAAACATAAAACAAAAAGTAGATAATAAAATTGTACGAATACATTGATCTATGAAAATTGACGCATATTACTATAATGGTAGTGCGATTTTGTAATAAAATGAAAGAAAATAAATATGAAATAATATTAATATTTTGGATTGATTAAGTAACATATATAATTTTTCATTGAAACTTTCAATTGTGCTCCTACGATTTTACATAATATTATCATATAAATACTAACTCTGCAGCTTTTTTCATTTGCTTATTTTTTTCTTTATCTTTAGAAATTGATAGATTAGTTATTATTCCGTTATCAATATTGTTGGGTAAAGAAGTACTCTTTTTCATGTCTATACTGGCATTAGGTTTTTTAATAATAGGTTGTGATGTTATAGGCTTTGGAAGCATATATGGCAATATAGAATCTAACAATCCTTCGTGCAATATATCGCTCAAATTTTGTCTCATTACATTTCTTAAAGTATGTTCTTTCTCTTCTGTGTTTAATTTAGTTCTTGATAGATCTACGTGTGATGGATGCTCCAACGGTTGATTCTTATCTTTAGTATCATTTTCTTCAGATTTGACATTTTGCAATTGGTCTTCTTGCTTTTCGGAACAATTTACAGTTTGCAAAAATAGAATTGGTTCAGTATCATGAATGCTTTGTAAAGGTTTTATTTCTTGTTTATATTGATTAGTAGTTGAAGGTAAAGGTAAATTATTATCAACTTTATTATTCGCTATCTCTGGTATACAGAATTTGGTTTTTCTACTCGTACACGTATTTAACGCTTTTGTTAAATCCGAGATTTCATTGTTAGAACTTTCTAATTCATTAGATTTAAAATCATTGGGTGGTTGACCATCGTCGTTAGGTGATTTTTTATTATTGATGGTCATATCCAAATTTAAATCGATTTTTGCTAATTTATTCCAATCTATTTCACTTTTATTTGTTAGAATTGCAGCTAAGCCTTCAAAACTGTCGTTGACTTGATAAGCAGTTCTCATAAATTCAAAGAACATTCCGATAGTCAGTTTAGGATATTTATTATTCTTAATATTGTATATATCCTTGGATAATCCGTAATTCATTTCATTTGGCTCTGTTTTCCCTTGAGATTTATCTTTTAATAGATTAATACATAATATAAAGTATTAATCAATTTTTAATTAGTAAAAAAAATATCATTAACATAGTGTTTATACAATTAATAACAATAAATATGTTAATTTGTACCTTTTTTATCAGCAGAATTTGATGTTAAGAATGAACACGAATGTCTTTTTGATATTACATTTCGATTTTTATTTAATTCCATTTTTGACATAATAAAATAATAATAATAATAATAATATTAATAATACTAATAATTTATATATATTATTTTCTATAAATTTTGATAGATAGTTGAGGATCGCTTATTATTATTTTTTTTTTTTAATTTTGACCTGTTATAATTTTTAATTGTATATTCATTATTATGAACGACCAATTTTCAAGTATATTACATAATATAAATAGTTTAACTTTATCTATTATAGAACAATTAAATCGATTTTTACCGCTGACTGATACCGCCAGTCGATGTATTTTGAAGATTGGTTTGTTTTGATTTGTGGCGTCTCGCACCAGCGCAGTGTCGACACCTCTCGGCCAACAGCGCGCAGCTGTAGCAGCGCGCGCAGGAAATGTGCTGACATCTCTCGGCCGACAGCACTAACTTACGCAAGCACCTCGTATCGCGGTTCCGCAGGGGCATCCGATTGGCCTGACCACGCCTTTGACTGGCCAGAGCGGAAGAGTGACCACTGCGACCGTTGCTCTCCCCACTTCCGGATGCCTGGATCGCCGTGGCGGTGCACACGCAGGAAAAACCWCATCACTTCTACTTCGTCCGTCGCACCRTCCGGTCGCATTCTTCTCATCGCGCTCTTGTGTAAGAAGGTCTCTCCTGTGTACAAGCATTATCTTCTGTACGTGACCACGTGGCACACCACGCCGACAAATAAAATATCGTCCCACGGGATCAAAAATATAATCGGAAATTTCTTTCCTCCCCACGGAGTCTCATTGGCCCATTCCTTTCTCCGCGGCCCGTTCCTCGCGTTGGTGAGAACTCACCTTAACGCGCCTAGTAACTTAGGGAAAGAAATTCCCAAA